GAGAACTCCCCTTGGTTTTCAAAAAAGGGTTTGAAACACTCTAGGGGCTCTGTTGAGTCCCTTCAAGGTCCATAAGGCTTCAGAGTAAAGTTTTGTTTGAATAAAGGGTTTCATTAATAAATATAGGTTTAAGGGGCTGGCAGGTGGCATGGTGGTTAAAGGTGCTGGACTCCCACATGGCTGACCGTGGTTCGAGGCCAGGACTTGGTGGCTTTCTGTCTCACTTTCTCTCTCTCTCTCTCTGTCCCTCTCTGGTCAAATTGAAATAAATAAATAAAGTTAAATACTTATTTTAAAATAAACAAACAAATAAATAAATATAGGTTTAAAAACCACCATTTGGGGGCCAGCAGGTGGCATGGCAGTTAAGGTGCTGGACTTCCATATGGCCAACCACGGTTCGAGTCCCAGACCTGGCGGTTTCCTTTCTTACTTACCCTTTCTCTCTCTTTCTCTCTCTCTGTCTCTGTCTGGTCAAATTAAAAATAATAAATTAAATTAAGTAATTATTTTTTTAAAAAATAACCACCGAGTCCAGCGTCTTTTTTTTTTTTTTAACAAAACAGGGCCCAGAAGAGGTAAATTACTCACTTGTGTCCAAAATACCTCAAATTAGTTACTGGCTGGGATGTCTGCTTTGAACTCTGGCTTGAGCTGAGAACTACTCACTGATCTGCATGACATTACATCATTCTGGCAGACCAAGAGGCATTAGGAGACATGCAAAATTCACAGGCACTAACCATACCAGCTGGCTGCTCTGACTGGGTGTTGAAGTACTTTTCTACTTTGGTTCCCAAACTAGCTCTCTAATTCCTCTCAGTGTGGCCGGCCACCCTTAGAGGAGAAAATCCCTAGCTCCAGGAGAAGGTCAGCTCTGGGTCTCCTAGCTGACACTCACTTTATCCAAGCAGAATGGGCTACAAGGCAGCAATTCTGTTGCCACATGCACATCACTGCTTTTTTTAAGAAATCCAGTCTTTAAATTTTCAGTTCAAACCTATCTATCATAAAGATTTCATCCTACTAACATCCTCAAGAAATCTGTTACTGCGAGTAACAAATTAAGAGACAGAAGTGAGCTTAGGCAGTCACCCCAGCCTGTTTAAATACCTGGCCGGAGCTGGCTACACCCATTTCTCATCTCCCTAAATGTCACTGGGCTAACCATTTTTCATGGGGTTCAGCACAATCAACTTATCAGCAAATTTAAAAGATCTGTATAGTGAAACCAATATTATTTTGATTAACCCCCATTTTGATCCTCTCAGGAATAAAATGATAATTCCTGTTTTGGAAATGGGACTTAGAATATAAAAAAAGGGGCCGCTGGGGCCAGCAGGTGGGAGGTGGTTAAGGTGCTGGACTCCCCCATGTCTGACTGCAGTTCAAGTTCTGGACTCAGTGGCTTGAAACTCATGCTAGGCACGTGTATGTGCATGCCCAAAAATCTGAGAGGTGAATGAAGAAGGAATTGCAGTGTGGCCATCCCTCCTAGGGGATAATTTCTCACCTTCCTTCTCTCTCTCTCCAGCAAGCACATGTGCCCTTTGGCAAAAACTTAAAAAAGAAAGAAAAGAGAGAAAGAAATAGAAGAGAAGAGAAGAGAAGACAGAGTCCTTTACTTTGGTAAGATGAGCCCGTGGCTTGGGTCTTTTGGAAATGGGGTTTAAACCTTAGTGATACCATCTAGTAGCTGCAAGCGTAATGCCCTTAGTATATTTAAGCTCTATTGAATCAAGGCCACTTATCACATACACTGCTATCAATTTTGACATGAGATAACTAAGACTGGTAAGTGACCTACCAGTCAGAGCACAAACGAGTGAGAAATAGACCCCAGGTACTCAGCGAAGCACGGGCTCAGCTCAGGATAGCACAGGCAGACCTGGAACACACTGTGGAATTCTGGGAAAGTTCCTTAATTCTCTAGCCTGAGTCTCCTTCTTGATGAAGCAGAGTCAACACCTTCTAACTCACATGGCTGCAGACAAAGGGCTTTAAACACAGACTGGTTTAGGGAAGGGTCCAATAAACAGCAGCCTTTTCCAGTGGTAGCTCTTTTCCTGAGTTTTTTCCACTTAGCTCTCCAAAGCAGAAGCCAACAAAGCCTAAATTACCTCTCGGCATCTAGAGAAAGTAATAATGAAACCAGATGAAAGAGAGGAAAGGAACATGAGTGAGCCGCTATTCCAGAGTATGGATCACACTAATGCCACCTGATATTGAAAAACACAGGTATAATATCCTGGTGAATAAACCACAGCACGCACGTTCTTTCCAAAAAGCAGCAAAGTGCAATAACCCCACCTTAGCCAGGCTCCCCATTACTTTCATAAAATGGGTTCCACAGGCGAGTCTATCAACCAGGCAGAAGTGCTACAGGGCAGCAACTGTGATGCAAATCACTGCTTTTTTTGTAAACCCAACCTTTCATTTTCTAGTCCAAACCCCTCTCTAGCATAAACACTTCACTAACTGCCCCCAGCAGACTCAATCAAGTACCTGTCTCTCACACCCCACTGCAACTGTATCATGCTTACAGCAATTTCTTGTATTGTAACGCGCTATTTGCATGTCTCTTCACTAGACTGCAAGTTGGTGAAGATCCCATCTTACTCATCTTTATATCTGCAGTGCACAACACACAGTAGACCCCCACAATTACATATTAAAGGACGGATTTCACGTTTTCTTTCACTAGTTAAGGCTGCAAAGAAACAGCTGATAGTGATTAGTAGAAAATTCTTTTTGGGTTGTGCTTCTCAACTACTTTCTTGAGTATACAAAAAAAAAAAAAAAAGAAAAGAACCAGTTCACACAGAATTTCCAGACAACTGATTATATTCTTTCTCAGGGAGTGAAACAGGTAACAAGGTCTCTGGGATGAATGCTGTGGTTTCAAATAAAATTGACCTCTAAACATGACATTTTGGAAAGTATACTGTACTACAAGAAGCTCTTAAATGTTTCAAACAATATATTATAGAAAAGCTATTAGAGGCAAAAATAAAATACATCTTCTTATATCCAAGACTTTTTTTTAGGTTTTTGCCATAGGGCATGTGCTCTCATCAGAGAGAGAGAGAAACAGTGAGAGGGAAAGTAAGAAATCACCTTCCCCTGCGGGGGTGGCCATGCTGCAAGCCCTTCTCCTCTATTCTCCTCCTGGGATGTTAGGCATGCACACACATGTGCCGTGCATGATTTTCAAGCTGCCGGATCTGGGACTCAAACCGAAGCCAGTCATGAGGGAGTCCAGCACCTTAACCACAACAACATCTGCTGGCCCTTTCTTACACTAAAATGTTAAGTACTTTTCTCCTGCCAACACTTTTGCTTTTTGTCTCACTGACCCTTGACGTGTGTAACTAAATCTCTTTCTTTGAGCTGGATCTGACTGTCTTAAAGAAGAGCCAAAGACCAACAAACCATAAATAATAACTTCAGTGTAGTATTTAAGTATCAAAGGTGACTTCAAATATATCTCATTGAACCATAGCTAACTGTAATCACTGAAACTTAGAGCCAGAAGGGGCCTTAGTTTAGAGGCTATTTCCACAGCTAACCATGTCACCAACCAGCTAGCATCCAGATAGCACTAGTCTCTGTTGACTGAAAGGTAGTGAACTACAGTGGTCTTTAAAATTCCCCCATGGCCTGACCACCCGTCAGTTTCTTAGTGCATCCCCCCACCCCCCTTAATGAGCCCAGTTGGTAAACCAACTCCTCCAACTTCCAAGCAACAGCCTTTCCTTCCCAAGGCCACTTCTTACAACCCCAATCCTCCCCACTCTCCCCAACCCAACACACAGACAGGGGCCATTTCATTTCTGACCCTTCAGAGATCCCACTGGTTCCAATCCTGACAATCAAACTCCTTTCCTATTCCCTCATGCTGTCTCTGTCCATGTGTCCCTATCCCGTGCAAAGACCTCCAGCACCTTTGGCTGTCAATATCCCTTTGGCCTCACCACCTTCTCTCTCTGCTTTTCAGCACTGCACTGTCATTTCTTTCCAACTCAGTGTCTCCTTCCTTCCAGTTATTCCTTCAAGGACTCCTGGTAGTTCAATACACCAGTCATTAAATGTCTATTGACAGGTAAAAGAGACATACATCCCTGAAGGATCTCACCTTCAAGGAATTTATAAGTGTGTGTGTGTGTGTGTGTGTGTGTGTGTGTGTGTGTGAAATAATCACTTATTCTATAAGACTTGGACACTCTGGAAAGCCTTCCCTAACCCAAATCAAATTGGCGCCTAGTCTCAGTCCCATTAGTCCTCTGATGTAATAACTAGTCTTGTTTGTCTCCCACTACTAGACTGTGGGCTTTTCAAGAGAAGAGCTCCTTGTCTCCCTAACTCTTAGCCAAGGACATGGTGCAAGGGTGATACTTCATAGCTGTCAAATGAGTGCACGGATGAATTCTGGTATACATTCATTCATTCATTTATTCGTTCTTCCTTCAAATGGTTGACCAAAACTTTACTGAGCACACATTTAGGTACAAAGCCCTAGAATGTAAGGTTAAAAAACAAAATAGCTCCTACCTAAGAATAACTCATAGCTATAATACTAGCAGGTCGGCACTCTTCTCAATCCACGTTCCCAACCCCCACCGCAGCTTGAATCTTCTCCCACTGAAACCCCGGCCTTCCCTCGCAGAAGTCCACGCCCCTCCGAGTCAAGCTACCTCTCAGCCCTCAGTACTACCCTAGGACCCCAAGCTAACAATCTCAAAATCTTAATACCTCCACACTTCCGGCCTCTCTCCCTGTCTCCATCCCCACCCTTGAGACTGCAAGTCTTCTACTCCCAAACCTCCTGGGCGCCCCCGAGTCGGGAGTCCCTCTGCTCTCCCTCTCGCGCACCCGCCCCCCAGTCAGCTCCTTGCCTCTCAGGATCCCTCCCATCTCTCCTAGAATCCTCCCCCCAATACCTCCTTTTCCCTCCTTTCACTACCAAGCTGTCTCTCCTCTCCTCGTTTCGCAGCTCCTACCTCATCCAGCTCCCGTTCCCCAGCAGCACCTCCTCCAACCTCCACCTCCACCACTGCCGCCATCTTCACGGCTCTCCCCCTGCCCCGACTCCCCGCGCGTGCCAGCTGCTTCCGCCGCTCAAGCGCTCCTAGCCAATCGGCGGTGCGGGCTCCAGCAGAGGGGGCGGGGCATCAAGACAGGCGAAGACCTGTCAGGGAGCGAGACCGTCTCTCCGCTTCTCGTTTCAGGATCAAGGAGGGAGGCTGCCCGTGCACGTCCAAGCTTTGGTGGGGGCGTATTCTTCGAAAATGAGAAACTGGGCTCTTACAAATATTTCACCTACTCTCCTCTTTGAAGAACCAAAGGAGAGAGTCTACTTTCGCGATGCACCCTCGCTCTGGGCTCTAAGGAGCGAGGCGTGGAGACTAAGGACTACATTTCCCAGGCTGCACCGAGTCTAACCCGGAAGTTCAAATTCTTTCTCACCGAGGGAGTTGTAGCGAGTGAAAATATACACGAAAACACACGCAAATGTATTTTCCTAGCTGTAGCACTTGCCATGGTGCCTCGGTGGGGATCGTGTTTCAAAAACGACTTTTTGAGGCCCCAGAAGAAAGTTCTGAGTTTAGGGAGGAGGAAAGGTGGTGCTCGGGGTCAGGAGGCGGGGGTTAGAGGGCGAATTGGCGGGAGAATGAGTTTGTGGTCCGAGATCTGAAGGTACGGTGGCTCTTAGAGGGTGAGCAGTGTTGGGTTTATCGATGGGGAAGGGAGTGTCCGAAGGAGGGGAGGGTGGTCGTCACGCAGGTGGATTGTGATTACGAGGAGTGGTGGTAGTAGCCGCGGCTTATACTCTTAAATCCGAGAGCTGAAGAGCCTTGCGGGACCTCCACCGCCCCAAGCTCTGCTTAGGCTCGCTCGCCCAGTGGCACATCTCGGAACTCTTTCC